CGTATATCAGTAATCAGTAATCAGTATGACTGGGGAAAAATAATGGTTTAGTGTACACTAACCTAAGGATACTCTCCTGCTGAAAGTTTTCTCTTCGTCGTAGGCCTTCCTGATTGACGTTTTGACTTAGGTGGCATAATATTCAGGTCACGCACCTCTGCTGGGATACGAATGTCGTCAGGGTCAGGCACTGGTAGGATTTTGCCACAAACTGTTGCACTCCAAATTGATTTCTTAAGAATTGGATCAACCAAACTACTGTACTCCACTTGCCGAAGCCTAGCCGCGGCCATTGCATGTCGGCAAGGGTATTTCAATGTCTGAAACTCTAGACATGAGCATGTTTTTTTTAGGAGATCAACAAGCCGCCGTACACCAAACTCAGAACTCACTTCAATCTCCCACAAAGAAATGCCTTGAACCGATAGTACAGCAGATTTTTCAAGCTGAAGGTTCATTAACTTGTCAACTTCTTCTGGAATGTCACCATCCATCTTTTGAATTTTCTCTCTTCTGCATTCAAGCCACCTACTTAACATTCGCCTGATAAATTCTAGCATTGCAACGATTGGACTGTCTCTTGCAGCGAATAGTGCATTGTTCAGAGACTCCGCAATGTTACTGGAGGTCATATTATACCTCTGACCAGAAAAGTGTGATCTAGTCCATGTACTCCCAACAACGATAATCAACATCCTTCAGCCTTGCGTATAGTTTCTAGAAATTAGAAACTGTGAACGCTTCTCCAGCCTTTCCGACCAACCCTTTCTGACCGGAACCTTTGTATTTACCGTGAACATTTCTCTGGATATGGACAAGACATGCACCGTGGTGTGACTGTGGATACCATTTCTTTTTAGCTTTGGTAATTCCACCGTGCCTATCCGAGATAATAGTAAGATCAGAGGAATCTAGAATAATGTCTACCAACTTCTCAAAGAACCACCTCCATGTCTGATCAGACTCTGCATCGACAACGGCGAACGCTATTGGAAAAACCTGGTAATTAGAATCTTTTCCACTGGCCGTTAATAGACAACCCTTATACTTACCAGTCAGGTGAGTCCCATCAACAACAACTACTTGTTTCAAATGTTTCCATCTAGATATACACGCAGCCAATGCCATAAATACGGACTTAAACCTGGTCATACATTTTCCATCTTTTTCATCTCTGATCGGTTGACAAATGCGTTATGGTGCCGGGGTTAGCATACTTGAGCACATGGAGGTAAATCAGTAATAATTTGAAAGAAGTCTCCTCTGTTCCGTGAGCAGAGTATATAGCCAGCTCCTTAGCTTTCCAGCATTTCCAGTACGAGGCTGTAATATTATATTCGGAGAGAACAATCGCAGGTAGTTCACTCGCACGTGGACCAACTATTGCATTCTCATACTTAGACTTCAGCAGAGCCGCCATGACTTTAGTAGTAGCATGCTTAGAAAATTTCTTTCTTGTATCGGGGTGGCATGTATGCTTCAAGCACGCCTTCCTCACCTCATACAATGCAGACTCGCCAACTTGACACCATAACACCCTCCAATCACATATCTTTGCTGGACATTCGGCGACTGTGTACTTCTTCGCATGCTTTTTGAATTTGAACGTTTCTTCAGCGCATTGATGACCAACGTGATTTTAAAGTGTTCCTTGTTCCTGAACTTTTTCCCAACCCATATCTCTCCATCTTCATTTGACAAATCAAGTTCATCGAAATCCCCTCCCCATATCATCAGAGACTGGTGCCACATCCGGAAATCCATATAGTTCTATACGTTTAATCGCTTTCTTCTGCTCTGCACCGCCATTCTGGCGCCCCCAACCGACATCACCTGTTGGAGTCTGCACAAAATCATCATCATCTCCATGGGGAGCCAGAACCTTCTCACATACAGTCCTCTTTCTTCCAGGAAAATGAATAGGACTCTCCGTTAAGACAATGGAGTAGTCCATATGGTTTGAATCACTCGGCTCACTTCCGCGACTACTTCCACAACCCCCTGAACTACCAGAGTCATCCTTATCCTCATCAAATCCAGGTTTAGAATGGAAACCATTACCATCTGCTAGTACGTAATCATTCCACCAGTCAAAATCATAATCCGGATCATAATCATCATCAGAGCCGTATGCGTTATCGTCAACATCATCAGCTTCCTTCTCTTCTGAATCTCTCGCCTCGTCTGATTCCTGAGACATTTTTAATTCCAACTCAGGGTGGTCAACAGAGACAGCGTGACTTGGAACATCAGGTATTACATTAACGGAGGTGTTAGTGCTGGCCTTAGCCTCTACTTTCTCTGATTCCTGGGAAATTTTTAATCCCAATGGAGGATGGATTACAGAGACAGCTTCAAGTTGTACACCTTTGGAGGTGTTCATTGCGGCCTCTGCCTATACTTTCTCGGCATGTGCTATCAGCAAACAATCATCGATATCTTCATCATCTGCTTCATCATCGGGTTGACTAGACTTTGCCGAAGAAGAGGCTATGAAGTTTGTTGGCCCTAAGGACTTTCGCCGTTCCCTAGCAATTTGAACTTCAAGACTTTCCTTCCGTTTCAATCTCACCATTTTACCATTTACTGACTCCTTGAATGTGACAAATAAATTCACAGACTTGTCAGACTTATGCAGCGAAAGGAAGAATTTGTACTCTCGAGGAGTAACTATCACACATGGACAACTCCCATCACCATTAAGCTCAGCTAGAACATCATCAAACCAGTAGGAAATCTCCACCGAAACAACTCTCGGGTCTAATCCGAACTCATGCGCAATCAGATTTCTCAAATTATCTGGTCCGGACACATCTTTGCAATTTATGCACCTTCCACGATGAGATATGTCCATTTTGAAATCCCAATCTCCTGTATAGTACCTTATCCATGTTCCCGCCATAACAAGAATGAACGCATCCACTGCAAATCGCGAACACCATATCTAAAAAACTACTGGCAAATAGCGAACACCAGAACGAAAAAATTCGAAAATAACAATGACAAATCTATGGGTGTACAATAATAGGATTAAGTAGCTAACCGTGGTTGTTGTCCTCTTGATCATTGCATAATTTCCCCTTCAATTTCAACATCTTCTGGAAAGGGAAACTAGGGCTTCTAATTTAGTTAGGGTACTTTGTTTCTTATTTTAACCAATTTATCTCCATTATCTCTAATTAACCACAATTTTTCCTGCCAAAAATAAAAAGAGAATGGGAAGGGTAGTTTTACGTCTAATGAGTTGGGTAGTTTTCGGCCCATAATCGAGGCCCAGTAAGGTGGTTTTTGGAAATTTCATTCCGAAATTCGAAATCAGGCCCAAAAAACGACCCAATCACGTGCGTAAGTGCTCTCTTCCCGGTTGTTATGCGCGCGGACACAGACTACGCCTGGGACCCACGGTATTTTCTGCGTCTGTCACTCTCTAAGGGCAGACTTCTCTGTCTCTCTTTCTCTCAGAAAGAAGAGTAAATTTGGCATTATGAAAGTATGTCCCTACCCTAACTAATTAAAACATAAAACTACCCTTTTCTCAAATAAAAACTTAAAAACGTCTTTATTTTCAAAACAATCCTTGATTCTTTCCATTTGGTTTTGCTTTGATTCAACGCTTTGTGGAAGCTGATACGTTTGCACCGTCGTTTTATCTAAGTAGTAATGAATAATCCACAGTCGT